GAATTTTGCTACAGTAGGCTCCATTCATATTTTATGTGTTCTATGGTTTTTATATTTTTAAAGCTGCACTGGGTGGCATTTAATTTCGTTGTACGAGAAGTACAATGACAATAAAGACTTACTTACTTCTTAACTATGGGTCTTCTGTAAACCAGGTGTTCTTAACCCGGGGACTATCTGTACTTTATTATCATCAATTTTATAACTGCAGATCATTTAAACATTACTTGTGAATATGTAAATCTTTCCCCATCCCCTTATTTTTTTTCCTTTCTAGATACTCACCAGATGGAAGATTAATAGTATCTTGCAGTGAAGATAAAACTATTAAAATCTGGGATATAAGAAACAAGATATGCATTGATAATATAATAGACCATGATGGGTAAATCCTATTTATTTAAAAACAAAGGGAAATGTTTTATTGATTATTATATGATTTATTATAATTATATCAGCAGGTAGTCATTATGTTAAAATATTCTTGTGACTCATTTTCCAGAGATCTTACAGCTGAGGTCACAAAAAATGAACTGCTGATTCCTTTTATTTTGATTGTGTTAACATTACCTTGTTCCTGAATTTATCCAACTTGTGACCAGGCCTTCCTGTAAACACCTTGCAACAGCAACTCCTTTTTGTTTCTTTTTCTTTGATTAAGAAAGAAAACATAAAACACCGAACCATGCCAGCTACTTTTGAATTCACTATATTCCTTAATAAACATTAGCAAATATTATTTACTGCTGGACACGATAAGGTCATCTCCATTTCTCCTCCTTTCTCCTCCCCATTCAGTGGCTTGAGATTAAAAATATACTGTAATAGAATGGGGGTTTTTTTGTACTTCTGAACATTATTGTCTAAGGCAGTGTTTCTCAACCTTGGCCACTTGAAGATGTGTGGACTTCAACTCCCAGGATTTCCCATGGCTAGCTGGAGAATTCTGGGAGTTGAAGTCCACACATCTTCAGATGGCCAAGGTTGAGAAACACTGGTCTAAGGTATTTTTCACTCTGTGTGTGTGTGTGTGTGTGTGTGTGTGTGTATTATGAATCTATAATGTTGCTCCTAAATGTATGTGCAGCTGCCTACTATTAATTGCTCTACTCTCCACTGACATCCTACTTTAGATATAAGGAAAGAGTTAAAAATACAGTAGCCATATTCTCTCTCAGACTGACTCAGATTTTCTCCCTTGGTTATGGCTGATAGAACACCTGATGTTCCATCATGTTCAGTCCTGAGTTGAAGTTGTCCTAGAGCATATATGCATACAAAAAAGTGTCTAATGTACTTATGTGCACTAGCAATTTTCAACACAGTTCTAAATGGTGGTTTAGCCAGCGGGATATGAACGAGTCTAGATGTGCATGCTTGTCTATTTCCCTTCTCGTCCCCTCTGTAATCAGGACTTTCTGGGAAGTGTTTCTTTCAGTTTCCTTCATAGAGGTCTCATCTGTGAAGGATAGACAAATCTTGTATGCATCATCTTTGGCACACTTCTCCAGGTTGTGCCTTCCTCTGTTTCAGATGTCTTCCACTATCGCAGGAACATCCCATATTAACACTGTACAATCCATTTTAAACTTAACAGCTACCATCATTCTATATTAAAGCCAACAAAAAATCTTCATCCATCTTAGTTACCAGCCATTGCATCTCCTTTCTAGTTCTCTCCTCCAATTCTTCCCAGAATTTTCTGGTAATTTAAAATTTCACCTCTGAGGCCAACCCAAAGCCCTATCTCCTCTTATGGGAACATTTTCCTATGGGAAACTAAACTCAGTTTCTCCTATCAGCTAGGTAGCACAGAGTATTTGTGTATCTGCATGGATATGTGAATAGCCAGCAGGAAGGCAAACAGGATGTAGGCTGACACATTACCCTTCCCTCCCCCCTTTTTTTTTCTTTTAGAAATGGCTGGGGTAAAAACACTTTTCCTAGGCTTTTCATAAGTGTAATTATAGCTGTGTTACAGGTAGCAATCTCAAGGCCCGTCCCATATTTAGAAAATCAACAACTTCCTCCTGCTTTCCTGTCTGATGTTGCAGACATCAACTTTGTATTGTTGGAGGTTAAGATACCACTGTGTAAATTTTATGTTGATGTTGATGGGGAGAGAATTATATTTTAGCAAGGGAGATCCAAGTTGAAATGCTATTTAATAATAAAGTTACCAGTATATCTCAGTATGACTTATTTTATGCAAATGTTGGGAAAACAGAATGGGACTGTACAGTGGGGCAAAGAAGTATTTAGTCAGCCACCAGTTGTGCAAGTTCTCCCACTTAAAAAGATGAGAGAGGCCTGTAATTTTCATCATAGGTATACCTCAACTATGAGAGACAAAATGGGGAAAAAAATCCAGAAAATCACATTGTCTGATTTGTAAAGAATTTATGTAAGTCTTCACAAGGTTTTCACACACTGTTGCTGGTATTCAGTGTGTGAAAACCTTGTGAAGACTTACCAGTGTGTGAAAACCTTGTGAAGACTTACCAGTGTGTGAAAACCTTGTGAAGACTTACCAGTGTGTGAAAACCTTGTGAAGACTTACCAGTGTGTGAAAACCTTGTGAAGACTTACCAGTGTGTGAAAACCTTGTGAAGACTTACGTCTACAATTTTGTTTCTGGTGTCCTTTGACAGCTCTTTGGTCTTGGCCATAGTAGAGTTTGGAGTGTGACTGTTTGAGGTTGTGGCATGTGTCTTTTATACTGATAACAAGGTCAAGCAGGTGCCATTACTACAGGTAACGAGTGGAGG